TAATTATTGTTATCCATGAATTTTCAAATCTACTGTTTTAGAAAAAACTGGAAAAAACACTCAAGCACATTATAATTTCTTGATTAAGACGTCAAACTACAGTTAATTACGTGCATTCCTGAACAGAAAAAACATGTTCTAGTGGTTGAATGTTATGCTTGATTCATTTCTGACTTTTCAGAGAATCCCAGTGCGCCGGCTCAGATTCGTTAAGCACCGTACATGTTTTGTAAAACAAGCAACAACTTGATTGTCATTGGAAGTGGTCTTAAAGAGAAACTGAAAGAGCCACAATCCTTCTAACTTACCTGACAGTAGTAGTAAATTGTTGGCTGTCCAGACCAGTTCCATCTTCAAGAGCAAGAGACAAGGCTCCGAGACCGGTCCAGTGTTCGGGATCGCAGGGGTATCGGCCCGTGAGGATGTTGCTCCTGGCCTCCTCGTACAGAAGTCTCAACACTCCCTCGTCTTCTATCTGTTTGGGCGCGAGACAGTAAACATAATCAACCAGTATCCAGTTTGAGCTAAGAAAAGAAATAAAAGGAGGTTTTCTTTAATTTAAAATTGGTAACTACAAAGACTTTTATTATAAAGCACTATAAACATCCTCTAAAGCCAGTGAAGCAGGAACGTTGATTTACAGATGAATGAACAATGCACCAAAGTCTTCTTTAAAGTCTACACAGCATTCTGTGTGCCAACATGTTTACGAACTCTTGGTGTCCGCTGATGGATAACACTGCCTTCAGAGTGCACTCATATCTAAGAGTAAGAAATGTTTCTGCACAGTTGATACCTGCAGCTCTTTAGATTTCAGATAAAACACGTTGCGTCTGTACTGGAGACACGGTTCATCTGAGGAAAAAAAAAAAGCAAAGGACAGCGATGCATTAGTGTTGGGGGGGGGGATTGCAGTTTCAGGACTGTTCAAACAGACACTGGACAAGATTCAGCCTCATCATCCAGAGTGGAGGAGGAGTGAGGGGATACAGAGACAACTCAAGCCCCCTCCAAGCCACTCTGCTCTGGCTCACAGTCCTGGACTGTGGGCGGCATCCTCTTCACGAAAAAGCATAGCAGCATTTAAGTGATTATACAATACCTTCCAATACTTTTAGTTTTATTAGTGGTGAGCTGTCACAGTGTCATCAGTTCATTGACATTACTGGACTAAAAGCACCTGCCACACTACAAGCCTGTGTGGGCTGCTTTACTTTGAGGGGCCAAATCGTAACAAAAAAATACCTCCAGACTTAAGTCGGTGCCTCACAGCTTACTCGCAGCTTCTTAAAAATGTGTTTAACTTCACCAAAAGTCCATTCTTAGCGACAACCAACAGCTGAATTTTGTAAAAAATCTATATTTGTGTCACATCAGTTCTGTCTTCTCCCAGTTAGCTTACAAATACAACTTGCTTTTCTCTCATCATTAGTTCAATGAATCACAGTGCACCTGCTGCAATCCTACAGATAGTGTAAGCATACATCATGGTTTCTCTTAATCGCTAAATAGTTATGATCATTGTAATGCTTTATGGCTGGTACATGTCATTGTAATACATTATGAACCTTTGCAGACGCTCTGTAAAGGTATTTTTTTAATCAATAACACATAAAAGGTTTAAGATTATTGTGGCTACTGTACATGTTTGTCAATTAACAATTATTTTTAACTGATGTGAAGCACATATTGCTGATTTTGTAAAGCCTAAAGCTACAACCATCAGTTCAAAATGCCAACATCCAACTCCAAAACAATAAAAATGTCCTATACTGTCGATAAACATGCAACGTAAACACAGTAAAGGGCTTTTTTAAAAATTTAATTACCAGGTTTTTCTAATTGCTTCTAAATAATATTCACAAGATGTTAAAGCTCAAAGAGTAAAACATTCTGAACTGTACAAATCCTCTACAAAGAGCTCATGGTCTCTGAAGTAATGCAGTAACTGTTCTCTCTCCGAACGCACTTTGAGTTTCTACATGTTCCAGCTCTTTCTCTTGCTACTCAGCCACAGCAGTTTATTGCTTATTAAGTCAAGGCCTCCTTTTCCTTTTATTTATTCTAAACAAACCCGACAGTACTTTCATCCCTTATTTACCCCGAGCACGCTACTAAGCTCCAACAATTTATAAGTAAGCTACAAATCGAGAGGAAACAGCTGCAGAAAAAAGGAACAGGCTGTGCTCGGCATGCAAAGACACGACACCCCGTTAGGATGTAGTAAAGTAGTTTGTTGGGAATAAAACAAAAAAAAGAACAGAAAATGCATTTACAGCACTTGTGTTGTGATAACTTAGTTACACTAAAGCTCACATTTATATGCAGCTAGTCACATTTCTCCTCTACATACTGCAATATATTTGAGTTCACATATTTTATGTGCTTTAGGAGACGTGGACTGAAGAGAATGCAGATACTGTTGTTTTTAGGCTCGAATTTTTGAAATGATTACAAAATGAAAGAACATCCTGCTTGCTTTATCTCATTGGGATTTTTTTTTTATTATAAATAATCTACTGCTCAGCTGTGAAACCACCATACATGGACCTCTTTATTTCCATTTCACTGTAACTCTGACTTTGGATTTAAGTCAGATTGCTAAAAGTTATTATCTTTTCTTTAATCCGTTGCGACTCCCCGTTCCCTGTCCTCGGCTGCTGACATTCCATGATTAAAGTAAGCAGCTTTCTGCTTTTGACTGCATTCCTGATGTCAGCTGTTGACTGTCTGACAACAGAGCAGCGCACATAAACACAGCAACACACAGTCCCAACGCTCACCTTGTGAAATGTCTTCCTCCGAGGCCTCAGTGAATCGATACAGCAAGTCCTGCCACTGCCGACACAATTTGTAGGGCTGATGCCTCGCCTTCAACTGCAATTCTGAAGAATAATGAGGAGAGGGAAATGCAATATAGTGAAATGCATTATTTATGCTATGCAATATCTGGTATTTCATAACATTCTGTGGATAAGCAATAAAGGTGTGTGTGGATAAACTTCCTACCAAGCAGTGGAGAGCAAAGCCAGAAGGCAAAAGCATCCTGTACAGACTCAGGAATATGGAGAGCTTCACGAACGCTACGGCCCAACTCCTGCACGGTGACACTGCCAAGCCCTTCTACAGATAAGTGCACTGCGCTCTCACCGAACAAGTATACGAGCACATCTTGAGCTGTGGGAACGAAAAATGAAATTATTAACAAAAATAAATAAGTTACAGAAGAAACCATGGGTGAAACCACATTGCATTTTTGTAAAGTTGATTTGCTGCAACTAATGGAGTTAACAGGATGGCGTAAATGAGGTTGTTGCACCATACCGCGGGAAAGTGTCGCAGAGGAAGCAACACTTCCTCTTTGTGAGTGATCATCGGACGAATCTGGAGGAAAACTGCAGTCATCTCCTCCTTCCATCTCTAATCTGGAACACAAAGACCAAAGTCACTGACAACACAAACACAGTACCACACTTCACACACTGAAACAATCCAACCCAAATGTACACCCAGACAGGAAAAACAGTCCCAAGTGTGACATGTGTACAGTACAGACATGTGCTGTGTACTCTACACGCAAACTCACCACAAACCAAAGGGGAAAAAATGAACTTTTGACCCCTAAGCTGAGGAGAATCTAGTGGCTCAGTTATGCTGCTGGGGGGCATTTCACTGGTAAAGTTTGGATCCACTTGTTCCTCTACAAGGACGGGTCACTGCCACCTTTATCCAGCGATTAAACCTTTCTATTCTGACAGAAGTGGTCTCTTCCAGGATGACAATGTCCCCATCTATGGGACACGAGTGGCCACAGAAATGGTTTGATGGGAGTGAAAATAATGTGACCTTCACAATCACCAGATCTCAACCACCTATGTTGTGACATGCTAGCTCTCCACAGCCTTCATCAAAACCACAAACGAGGAAACATTTTTGTCTATTTTTTGAGCAGAGTTGAGAAACTTTAATGTGAGGGAGCACTGAAGCTGATCTGGTGGCCCAACACTTTACTATTATGTTGATTTGTGTCTGTATGACGGATTCTCAGGTTTGAAGCTGTCACTTGCTGTAAGATGTGCACATGCCAACATGGGCAGCATGCCTGCAACTCCTTTCATGTAATATTTAAGCGTCCTGACCTTAATTGGCTGATTTGAGACTAGAGACCTGGAAAGATTGCTTTGATCTACACATGTGATGGAACAGGATGAGGACAAATGATGGCTACCTTAGAAGTGTTTGGTAAATCACTATTTCACTTCATAAAAGTTGTCAGTTGGCAAACAGAAGTGCCCAGCAAATGGGTGTAGGTGTATGTGGTGCTCAATAGTTATAAATGTGTGTAATACTTTTGCACCAGCCTCATAAACCGTCAAATAAAGGTTTAGTTACTGCTTCAGGTATGGCTGACGGCTGAGACAACAACAACATGCCTCACTCGGAAGTGTCACGTCATTCTTCCCTTTAGTCATGTTCTGATAAACCAGTAATCAGTCTTATTTAGCACAGGTCTCACTGTGCACCAGCGCCACCACGTGTTCAGAAACTGGGGGACATCTGGGAGTACACAACATCCCAGACTGTCGACCTCACCCTGTCGAACTGGAGTCATCCTTTATCCCCAACATGTCACTGTTATTCAGACATACTTGCACGCTATGTACCAAAGATTAGGACGTTTACATAATAGCCTGAAACCGTTACAGACAGACAGAGAACATAAAGGTCGCTTCACAGTGCCGAGGCCCGTGGGACGAACCTCAGCCAGCTATCCAAGTTTAACAGGATTGTCCTTTACATGCCCAGACACAACCGAACAGCGAGGAGATATTCCAGGAGGAAAAGTCTCTACATTTAATTAGCGTTAGCTAACATTAGCTGAGAGGCTGTGGCAACGACCGTGCTAGCTATTCAAGCTACGCATTGGAAATGTTTCCATGGCTAAACGCCACTGCGACCGTTTCAGACCTATTAATACACCGTATTTATCAGCCAGGTGGAAACTATTTGGTCACTTAACCTATGTGGCCCATTAGCTAACTTTCGGTGTTTGGTTCACCGGACTCATGTCCTGTGAAAAACAAACGAAGGAACAAAAGTGTCTCTGTTGTGCACCTACCTGCCAGCTCTGGCAAACTTCCCCCCGCTCGCTGTTTACGCTCTGGATGGGATCCTGCTAATGTGGTAAACACTGCAGCTAAGTACATGAGCTAATGAAGGAGCCGCTGTTATTTCCCTGGCTACAGCTAGCCAGTTGTCTTCAACTAGCTTTCCGGGCAGCTGCAACAGTTACGGAGCGTGTGACGCGCGGACGAGCGGATTATTTTGAACCGCTCCCCTTTAGTGGGTGTGACGGTCAGTCTGGAAGATTTTAAAACGCGATATCTGGAGTATTCAGAAATGAGAGAGTCAAGAAAGCAGCCGTGGGAAAATACTCTAGTGTGATAGTTATAAATGACATTGGCTGACTGACTGTAGTCGTTTTGAACTCTTCGACACGGGACACGAATTAAAAGATTTGATCCCAAAACCGAGTCGAAAACTGAGTCGGATGTCAGAGAGCGGGTTGACTCTGTCACGTGACAAAGACGTCCTTCGACACTTCAGCAGCAGCTGATTACTTCAGTCCATCTGCTGATGTGTTCATCTACAAACTACATATTATAGTCACGTTTCAACCACACAAGCAGCAGTGTGAAGTAACTCAGTACATTTATTACATTTGGAGGCACTTGTGCTTTACTTGAGTGTTTCCATTGGCTGCCACTTCATACTTTAAGTACAGTTGAGAGGCTAATATGATGCTTTTCACTCTTTTAACTTTACTGACTAGTTATTTTCCATATTCAGATTGATACCAAATCAAAAGAAAATGATATATTACTTTACCCCATTACTGGGGTAATATACCAGCTTAGGGGGACCACATTTTGATCACCGGAAACCAGGACACTCAGCAATGAGATACTCAAATGATAACTGGAAGTTTACTCAAAGATGCCTTATAATTTCAATAAATTCAAAGTATTCCTCCTCCAGGACAGGATCAGGACATTTTCGTCAATTTGTAAAAAAACAACCAGGACAGAGCATCAGGTGTTTGGTCACCCTACACAAGCTACCCAACAGTAAACAAAGTCAGTCAAACCAGCTTCACCTTCACCTGAACTCATTAATGCATCATTAATTATAATCCAATGACATAACACATTATTCTGAAATAGGCCATTTGCCATAATGACTACTTTGGCTTTTGTTACTTTAAGTACATGTTGATGCAAACACTTTTGTACTTTTACCTAAAGAAGACGTGAGTCCTTCTTCCAGCACTGCAAGGCAGTTGGGTGCACAGTAATACAATAACACCTGGATTCAATCTTAACACCATCTCTGCAGAAACTTGGCAAACACAATATTTATTGCATGGCTTTGACTTACGGTAATTGGACATTGCTTAGTATGTGTTAGTGCATTACAGGTGTTTGCATAATTTGCAGCCAATTGCAGAAATTGTTTATTAGCCTTGTTAGACACATCAGATGTAAACAACAGCAAAGAGTGACTTACACTGTACAGTATAGCCAAGTTATAGCATGGAAATATGGACACACCACAGCTTCAGTAAGTACAATAATAATGCATGTATTTAATTATACATGTTTATATTAAATCAACTTCCTTGGATGTGCCTGGTCATTTTTCTTTTGTGTGACTAAATCAGCAAATCTCCTCTTCAAAGGCAAAATAAAGCCCCGCTTGACACTTGTTCAGTCTCAATATTACCATCTTCTTCAGCTTTTAAATTTTTTAGACGCAGACAAGCTTTCATAGGTTCACTCTTTTATCCACCTGACGCAGGTGTCGAACTGCAACGGCAGCAGGTTAGGTGTTAACAAATGGGATTAGCAGCTTTAACTGAGGTGTCAGGACAGAGGACACACTTGATGGCTTTCACTGCATTACCGACCCTGATTAATCAATCCTCTTAATTCTATTCCTTTAACTAAGAACAGAGGCAGGCAGAAAGAAACGTCTTGGAGAACCTGTCATGGAGGCTGATATATGAAGTAGTTTCATATTTGCAAGTGTTGTGTTTACATCAGAAAAAGAAGTGACTCTACTCCATAAGGCATTTGGTAACTTCAAACTTTAATTTCATTCATTATGTCATCGTGCTGCTGCACAGGTGAACATTTTTGCCTCATTTTTCTCTACAGTCAGCTTTACTTTTTTAATTTTTTTAAGTCCCCAAATCTTTTTTTGATTACTGCCTTATTAATTTGATTTATCCAATGGTTGAACTGATTATTTTATTGCTTTTGACGCAGACAAGTCTTGTGAGAATCCAATTAGCAATGCACATCACATTCAAAAGGATTAAAGAAATTTAGTGTGACTGTAAAGAAAAAGTCAGGAAAAATAAAATGAGTAAATTATAATAAAGAAATGTGCTAATTTAGTTTGAGAATCATAAACATGTTTTTAAGGAGTGTCTCAAAACCAGTAGAAATCAGGGGTTTAGTTATAACATGTGGTCATACCAGGGCAGAATATGACATAGAGGAACACAGTTTTCATTCATTTTATCCATGATGGTGATCTGACAATAAAAAACATACTAACCCTAAATTTGTGAAATTTATAGATGCCTGTGATTCATGTTCTTCTTCTTAAATTGAAATCATTCATTAGTTGCCTCTCTGTGTAAAAATTATTTACATGTGTGTACACTGTGTGTGGTTTAGGTGGTGGCAGCCGAGGTGGTGGCCGCAGGGGTTCCCTCCTCCACCTGGTTCGTGAGCAGGAGGAACTTCAGCACGGGGTCCAGGTACTCCATGATGGTGTCCTTCACCCCTTTCTCCAGCAAGTAGCCCTCCGTCTCGATCTCGGTGTTTTCCTTCCCGGCCACGGCCTCCATGGCGGTCTGCAGGAACCGCAAGCTCACCAGCACGGAGCCCTGTGGATGGGGGAGGCGGAGACGGGGGAGTCAGGTAGATGTAGTGCAGGTTTCAACAGAGTATCATCAAGGATGTATAAGGAATAGCAAATCAAAGTGGTGATTGATTGATTGATATTGCATATTTTGTGACATGACAAATGAATGAGGAGTCAATTGGTATTCTCTGAAGTCTGGATTCTGGACTCAGGGCACCATGTTTGATGTGAAGCAGTTTAGTAAGACCATTGCCAAAGCCAGTAGTATGCCGTGACCATCCTCCATTTTAACCAACACCAACCCTGGGCCCACTGGAGCTCCTCTCTTAGTTTACCTGCAGGATGAAGATGGACAGCACTCCGGCCCCAATGGTGTTCATCAGGCTCATGTAGTAGTTGACCAGGGCCTCCCTGCAGCCTCGGAGGTAGATGTTGAGCTCCTCGGTTTGGTATTCATAGTTGTAGTGAGCGGAGTTGTTGGTGAGCTTATACTGGATGCATGGTCGCGGGGAGCTGGGGTTGCAGCAGCTGAACGGGACTCCATCCACCAAGTAACGTCCGTCCACGTTGCTCTTGACGCGGCTGAAGAAACAAATGAAAGGTTACCAACACTGTCAGTGTCTGAGCATGAATGTGCACAGATGGGAGCCTCACTCCACTAAATCCACTTACTCTTTCACTTCCTTAGTGCTGAAATCTAAGTAGCGGTTGCTGATCCACTGGACCTCAAACCAGTCCCTGAAGTCATTGTTTCCACAGCACTGAAACTCCATCTGCAGGCGGTCGATGTTCTGCTTCTGGAAGCAGCGGCCGGGGGTGTCCGTGTCCTTGTAGAAGCGGATGCCGTTCCTCAGGCCAACCTTCAGGGACGACTCCAGGCTGCCCTTCATGGCGTAGCTCATGATGACAGCGAGCAGCATGAGCACGGTGAAGAAGCAGGAGACGGCAAAGTAGGGCTTCAGGAAGTTCTTCCAGCGAGGAAATCGCCCGGCGTCCAGCGCATCCTGACAGATCTTTGATGCGAAGTAGTTGATCCCCAAGGAGGCCAGACCGACAATCATGAGGGTGTTGGGCACAATATGTACGTCTGTGTTGTCCATTACCTGAAAGGAAAATTAGTTTAAAGT